GTTTATAATTTGAATTTTTAGAATCGTTTGAGTTTTGAAAATGAGAAGTTGGAGGAGAAAAGCAACGAAGTCAAGAGGTGAAGCAAAAAAGTGGGGATATGAAATTTTTAAGAAAACCTTACAATCACCTCATCGGAGACGAAGTCAATATGGTTTTGAGTGCTAGAGCGGAAATCATGAAAAAAAAAAATATTACAAGTAGTATTTTTTTTGTCAGTTTTAAGAATGTAATCGTTTTTATGTTTTTATTTTCGTTTTTAGGATTTTAATCGTCTTTATGTATTTTTTTTTATCGTTTTTAGGAATGTAATCGTTTCAATTAAATTAATGAAGTTTATTTTAGTTAATTACATGTTATTCAACTAAAAAAGGAAAAAAATATTTTTAATTTATTATATTTTATCCAATTAAAAAAATATGGTAATATGTGGTATGATACCCACCAATTTTGTGGGGTGAGTTAAAAAATGACATAGCATCTTAAACATATATTTATCTTTTTTAAGAAATATAGAGTTATGTTTAGTGAACTATTTAACAACAAGATACTTCTATATACCAAAAATAGAATACCACATAAAATACATGTTGTCCTTCTCAAATATATCTATATATTTTAAAATTGCCACATGCAATGCACACAATTTGCTTAAATACATTTTTGTTTAACCGAAAAAGTTTGTTTTCGTCTAACATCGTTACCACCTCCACACACTCACCACCACCCCGACACGACCCACCATTCACCACCATCCAACAGCCACACACAACTAGCATTCCACACCATATCAACCCAAGAAACACAAGTTAAAAACAGTTTAGACATCCAACAACCAAAAGACGATGAGTTGCTCATACTTACAAATAAAAACAATATTTTTAATTAAAACTAAAGATGATCGGCTAACTATGTTTATATTTTAGAGAAAAATGTCCCCAATAAAATGGCATTCGAATTCCTGAATGATCATATTTTGTAGTGAAAGACAACTGATATCAGCATGAAGAAGAATGTGAAAAAACCGTTTAATGATGAAAACTGAATTTGTTTTTGTTAAAAGGTATTATCCGTATAAAATTCATATGTTCAGGGACTTTTTATGAAAGTTACATTAAACAAAATGAAACATTTTATCAACTCCCCCAATAACTGCCGAACTCCGATTTCTCTCATTTGATGATTTGCTCGATTTCCCCCCACAAACTAACAACACCGTTGCCATTCCTCCTACTTCTCCCCTACTAACCCATTCTCTCACAATGGATTCCGGTCCTCAGTCTGCCGTAGACGGCGGTGGCGGCAGATCCAGTGGAAAAGTCTATAAAAGGCGGCGAAGCGCTACCAGAAAGACTCCATATGACCGCCCCACTGCGCCTCCCCAACCAGAAAGCCCTAATTGGTTAAATGGACTTGTTTTCCCTGCCAAATTTGTTGCTGGTGGTGCTAGTAAACTTTTTTCTTCAATTTGGAACCCCAAGAGTTGGGCCTCGCATTCGTCTTCTTCAGACAGCGATTCTGATTCAGGTATAGAATATCCGAATTTTTTTTAGAGTTATGCAGTAATTGGTTAAATATGGGAACTTATTGAGTGTTAAATTGGCAGAAATCACAATGACACATAGTTTAACCTTTGTGATTTTTGGATTCTTATTGTGCTGAAAAGGGATATATACGAATTAGGGCTAGTTACATATGTACGATGTAATTCTGACAATCCGGTAAAAAAATTGGTTTGATTTCGAACATATTTAAGTAAAATGTTTGACTGTTAGTCATAAAGATCATACACCTTGCAACATCTGGCGTTTAAATTTCTTGTTTATTGATTTGGTTATCAATAATTTAAATTTGTTCTCACATGTTTTCATAAAGGTGCTATAGAAGATGAATCTGAAGATAATGGAAACCTTTCTGATGGGGGTGTTGAATTGAACCAGGTAATTTCAATGTATCATGGAACCCTAGCTTTATGGCCACACTTAATGAGCCTAAATGTATATATATATATATATATATATATATATATATATATGTCTAAGTAGTATTCACTTTTATTATACCAGAATGAAGGCAGTTCATCTGGAAAGAGTGAGATTTTATATTTAGTTGAACAACTACTTATGCTCGAACGCTATTCAAGGTAAGATAGTCTTTTCCTCTCCCATTTTGTGGTGGTTTCATACTAATTATATTGTAATCTTTTGTCTCTTGTTTTCTACTTATGTATATGTTTTACAATTTTTTAACAGGGAAGAATGTGATAGGCTAATAGAGATTATCAATTCACGAGTTGTAGATTACACCATGGGAGATGCTGGAACAAGTAAGATTATGAGCAGAATTGATATTGGTATACATGGGAATATGAATATCTCTAATTTCACTGTTGCTTTCTTTCTTTGTTAACAGAGAGTCCAGATATTCACAACCAAGTAATCATGGAAGCAAGAAAAGTGATTACAAAAAATGTGGTTGGATCAAGTTCAAAGTCAGACATGGAAAATCACATTCATGGCTCCAAATCTGTTGCAACACCAAATGTTAGTACTACCATTTTGCAGCTTATGTTTTTCTGATTTGATCAACACCTTCTACTTATTATATATATATATATATATATATATATATATATATATATATTTGGTATGATTTAATGCAACAGAAGGATTATGTTTCTAGTGGATCATGGAACATTCAGGATGAAATACAACGGTTGCGTTCAAAGGCAACAGAAGATCTGTTAATTCGCCATCAATCACCAAAACTTGACAAGATTTTGGAGGTTGTTAATGTTAATGTTAAACCAACTATGGAACCACAACCAGAGGATGAAATTGTAAATTTTGCTTCAGAGGGGGGTACTTTAGGTTGGTATCTTTGCCTAATATTTCCAGATGATTCTATACAGATTAAACAATTATTATAATGTTATTTACATAAATCTCTCGCCTTTCCTCTATTCCTTTTTTTCTTAATTTCAGATTTGACAACCACTCAAGATCATGGGCCCACCGAAGCCTTTTCATCCCTGCCAACCATCGAGGAACAAAACCAGGTAAAATTTTGCTAATTCCATATGTGAAAACGAGCTTTCTAGGGTTATTTTTTTATAATAAGGGCATTCTTGTCTTTTGCATAAACCAGAAATCAAGTCCCATCTTTTTGTCTCTCAGAGTCAGTCCAATACATACCAAACACACTGAGACTGAGACTGATGTGAATGAGACAAAAATTGTAAGTTTTTGTCCGAAAAGAAAAGGTGGAACAAGATATGAAAAAGACGAGAAAGCCCTTGTCGACCTGATTATGAAAAATAGCCCTAGAAAGCATGTAAGAAACGGGCGAGTGTGTATGTTAAGTGTTAACATAATATAATAATACAATTAATTAATGTTTCCGTTGATAATAATAATAATATAGGAAAAAGAGGATGAAGATGATGTGAAATCAAAAGTGGAAAGGAATCATGATGTGAATGGTTCACAAGGAAGCTCAAACACAAACGATCCGTCTGGTTCTATTAGAATGACAAATAGCCCGGTGACACGGGCAATGGCAAGAAACAGGAGGTACAATCAAAACCAAAAGGACAAATGATTGGTTGGATTGTGATTGTGATTGTGATTGTGATTGTGATTGTAAGTAGCTGCTACTAACTAGACAACACAAGACAAATGTTGGTACAAGTTTTAGGGTTTATTGTGTCAATGGATGTAAACTTTAGGGGGGTTTGTTGTATCATTGGTAGATGTTAACTTTTAGCCAGGGTTAGGGTTAGGGTGGGTTTATGTAGGCTTCAAAAACTAGTTGTGTGTTTAAACTAATTTAGTCTATTTGTATGATGTGATGTGATGTGATGTGTAATTTGGTAGGATATTGTGAGGAGGAGTTGTGGTATGTACTAATATGCACTATGATGTAATGCAACTTAAATGTGTGTTGTTGTAGTTTCATGGATGTTTAATGATTGAAATAAAGTTATTTTTATAGCCAACTTGTTAAAAAGATACTTTTTTTTTTGCATTTTAATCTTTATAGAGGTAACCAATTACGAAAGTTGTTCAAAATAGGTTACTAGGACTTGATATAGCATGTTTTATTGGCTAACCTATCACTTAGCCAACTTTCACGTGTAAAACTTGTAAAACCAAATTTGTGTATGTTCTTTCTAAATTTTTTACATACGTTGGAAAAAATGAATTTGTAAAAAATAATATATTGTAATGTTTTTAGAAAAAACCAATTTAAGAAAAACTAATCACTTGGTCAACGTTCGTTCATATTTATCAATCACATCACTCTCACAACACATTATAAAGAAATATACATATATAGGTAGGATGATGATTTGTACACAATATTAAAAAAATGTCGTGTTCTTACAAGTAGGAGGATATTATGTGGGAAATAGAATATAACCACCATTCATAAAATTTTTATTGAGAAATTAGTCTTTGAATTTGACTTCTAAAATTGTCACATCTACTACTAACCTTAAAATTACTTTAGCTTTAAAATAAATTTACATACATCAACAAATTTATAATTGAAGACGTTTCATATTTTGAAAGTACATGGTTTTTTAATATAGAATATCCTAAACAGAGATCGTCCAAAATTTTAAACAAGTTTAAAATAATCAAGTATTTGATCACACAATATTCCCCAACATGTAATATCTTGAATGAAAATCAGTTTTATAATTGAAGTAAAACCCCTTTTGCTAACTTTACTACACAAATAAGCATTTGACCCTATATGTAATGTAAACGTGATATTAATATATTTGGATGAGTGATATCACTAATCAAGACTATCATCAAGTTGTTTTGGTTCTCTACATATAATCTTGAAACAATTTTATGTTCAAAATGTGTTGAAATTTCAAGATTAACTAAACCACTAACACCAGTACTCAATATTTGTCCTTTTATTTTATCACAAAAAAAAAAAGGAATATTCAACAATGTCAAAGCATTACTCAAGTAAAGTTCACTAAAACTAGCTGCATAAACCTCTGAGTAGTGTCATTTCCGTTTTATATACAATACATCAAGGCCATCAATGGTATATGTTTATATTAGTCCCGATATAAAAGACTAATTATTGTACATCAACTTACAAATTTCTTTTCCTTTTTTTTACCTATAAATCTGTTTAGCCAAAAAAATATTTGATGGCTTAATTCTATACAAATTATGTAACTATAACTTTTTTTATACCTCTATGAACACGTGTGTCAAAAAAACCCGAATCATTTATCAGATAATACAGAAGCACTCCATGAAAGCATGAAATCACGAGCAGCTGAAGGTAAGTCTGAAAAAAATCAAATTATTCATGAAGTCAAATTATCCAAAAAAGGAAAAAAGACAAGATAATAATAAAAATATATATATATATATTTTTTATAAATCATACCTCTGACAACCTCCAAAGCAACTGAGGGAATGTCTATTTGATCTTCAACAAGCCTATACACATCCACAAGCTACAAAAACACACAATAACATGAGTTCAAACCTACACTACACTACACTACACAAAAGACCAAAATACCCATCGGGTTATACAATACCTCTTCAATATGAAGCTTAGAATCCTCTGTTAATGCAAGAAGAAGTTGCCTACGTATTCCTTCATCAATCAAGAAAAGCCGGGCTCCATCTTTAATCGTGTCCGTTAGATCCAACTTCCTTTGAACCTGCAACCCTCTCGAACTTTCCCTGATCCAAAAAAGAAAATAATATATATATTTTTTTTTACTTCAATGTGGTGAAGGGTAAAACGGTAAATTCCCACATGGAGATAAGATAAGATCTTACGTGTTGTTTCCTTGATATGCAGGATTGCTGCTCATTTTTGTTACATTCTCTTTTGCCAACACGATTAAATTTTCAAGCCTCTTCCATTGGAAAAGACCATCTTTAAACAAAACCTAATAACATAAAAGAACTCTGATTAATAAATAAATAATTAAAGATTTATTTAAAAAAAAATTGAAGGGTTTGTAAATCTGACCTGAACAAGGCGTTCACGAAGAGCGGGATTTGGATCTGTTAAAAGACGTTTTGCAATGTATGGATATGCAACCTGTGAAGTGTTTTGGTTATTAATATGCAGACAAATTAATAATAATACTGAATAATAAAAGGAAATTTACCTCAAGAAACTTAAAATCTGGTTTTAGTGTGAAACAGATGCCTTCTTGAGTCAATAAAGAACGAATGACAAGAGAAAATCTTTCTGGAATCCGAATAGGGTATTGATACACAAGTTGATTGAATTTCCCTATATTAAAGTGGTAAACAAATTGGTTCATAATCATGTATACATTATTTATAGTGGTTTAGTTAGTAATTAGTATTATTACCTGTAACACTTCTAAAATTAAAATCAGCTAATCCTTTTCCTGCAGAATTCTGCCAGATGGATTCTAATGCTGGAATAATGGGGGAGACATCTGTTCCTTTAGCAAGGAATCCAAGTCTTGTGAAATCATATGCCATTTCAGCATAATCTTCATTTACAGCATGGACAACAGCATCAATTAAAATCTGTTTATTTTGCTGAACAAAAACAAAACAAAATGTTGATTTTTCAAACTACAAAGCTCTAATACAAATAAATGAAAGTAAGATGTTATAACAAACAAATAAACAATACCTGGCTTAACTGAGCAACATTCCCAAAGTCCACATAAGCAATACGTCCATCCCGCATGGCAAAAATATTTCCAGGGTGAGGATCACCATGAAACAAACCAAACTCTAGCAACTGTCTCAAAGCAGCACTAACACCAACAGTCAAAAATCCATTTACATCAATACCAGCTTCCTTAATGGCCTGAGATAAATCAACAACAAAAAAAAAAAAAAAAAAAAAAAAAAAAAACATGTTATACATCAAATATTGTTTGTCTTCTTCTTTCCAAAAACAATTTTACATGTTTAGCATTCAAACCTGTGGATCAGTACACCGGATTCCATCAATCCATTCCATCACTAGAACACGTGAACCAGAAAGCTGTCTGTATGCCCTTGGAATTTTAACAGTTGGATCTCCTTTGAAGTTTTCAAGAAAATCTTCAATATTGCGTGCTTCCTAATCATTTTAAAAATCAAAAAATTCCAATTGTTAAAAAGTTAATACCCATAAGTAAAATGAGCTACCTTGATGGTTCCATCAGGCTCTGTTTGTTACACAGGTTAGGACAAGACATGACAGGTTGTACTGTGTTTGATATGCATTAGACAGACTTGTGTCAGTGGTCCCGCTCAAAAAGGTGGGAGGGTGTGTAAAAGACAAGAATGCCCTTTTTACCCTAATCATCAAAAATAGCCCTAGAAAGGTTGTCCAGTCCAGTGTAACAAACGCAACCTCAAAGCATGAGATTATAATCTGAATACTACCAATGTATAATCAAGCTCCTCCAGAAGCTTCTCACCAAATTCATCAACTATAAGCTCTGCATTGCAACCCAACTTCTGTAAACTGATTCCATTCAGGAAGGAAGCAAGTGTCCGGAACAGGAATAGGTCCCTGTATATTATAGGCTCTATTTCAGGCCTTTGGACCTGAAAAAGTAGCAGAAAAGTTAAACAAAATAGTGATTTAATAAATCACACAATGTTAGAAACTTAGAATGATGTTTTTGACCTTAATAGCAACATCCTCTCCTGAAGCACGTAGAGTAGCCCTGTAAACTTGACCTAAACTTGCAGCTGCTATGGTCTCTGATGAAATTTTGCTGAAAACAGCTTCAAGAGGTTGACCTAACTCCTCTTCTATAATGTTGAAAGCAACCTAAATATCATTGTTACCACTCACAGCTTAAAGGAAATATAGGGTGTAAAAAACATGTTGTGTTGCATAGACTGGATATATGAGGTCATTACCTGATTAGGAAAAGGAGGAACATCATCTTGAAGAATGCAAAGTTCATTCATGTAATCTTCCCTAATAATATCAGGTCTGTTTGCAAGAACCTGTGAGCAAGTTACAAAAGAGTCAATACATCAAAAGAAATAAAAGCAAACTACAATTGTTAAGAGTGGAAAACCTGGCCAGCTTTGATGAAAGAAGGGCCCAAGTCGCATAATAGATTCCTGAGCTGCCTAGCACGAAAAGGAACAACTTCTTCATCACGACCAACTAGATAATCATACACCAATCTTGTCCAGTAGAATCCCAACTTCCAAACAATCTCAACTCCTCTTCCAACCAGTGATAAAATCGCACCTTGTGACTCCAACACCTTACTTCTAACCTTCATACACAATTCAAAACGAGATGAACAATTATTATTGATCATAGAGAGTGTATGGTAAATCCATATACATACAACAAAGTATACTCACAGTATCAGGGGTGTACTTTCGAAACGGAATACAAACGCCACGCTCGATATCTAATTGCTCTAACGCACTGCTACTAATGGAGGCATTTGACGACGATTGCAATTCCTGTTCACTCCGGCTACCTCCGTTCACGGCAGCACGACCACGAGCAGTGGATGCCGCCGCTACCGCCTTTACAACCTTCAACGTTTTCCGATTCCTGGAGCGACGATTACGAACAACAGCAACAGGAAAACGGGTGATCCAAGTTGCGGACACACCAACAGGCGTGTAACAACTGGAATTCAGAAATGGTTTGGGTATATGATAACTAGTGGTACTCATTTCCATGAATCGTGATCCAAGGAATTTAAAATTGAGGAAAAAGATCCCTAGGAGTATGAACTGAATGCGAAATTGGGGAATTTGGTTGTGAAGTTTTATGGGAATGTTGATGATGCAAAATTGCAAATGATGATTTGGGGGTTTGAGTGTTCAACTGAAAGACTGCGGTTGAAGGTGGATAACAAAAACGATTAAACGAACAATGGAAGAGCATTAATTAGCCACGTGTACACGTGAGAATGGCTGGAAACTCCAGGAAAATTGGCCCACAAGCCTTTTAAGAAAGTTATTCGTTCGATCACAAAATAGGACAGAAATGAAATCGGATCCAATTAAAGAAAAGCCTATTATGTTCGCTATAATCAATCATATCATGTCATAATTTATTTCAATGTTACTATCTTGAAACAAGTTGTCGATCTTCCATACATATCTCGAATAGCTGTGACATCTCTCTACCTTCTATCTTTTAGGGTCGTCTAAATCCTTTCAATGTTACTATCTTGAAACAAGTAGTCAAATAGTTTTATCTAGCTTATTAGAAGTTGGTGGCTTAAGCAGGTGAGTTGTAAGTTAGAGGGGCTAATCGGACAAAAGCTTAAAGTTGGTCGGCTGTGACTCGTTTTCTTGGAAAGATGGAACGAAACACGACCTTCTACCAGGTCACATCCATCTATTTGTTTGGTCCAACATATTTAAGTGCCTGTTTTAGAGCACCCTCTTCATCCCATCTTGCTCTCATTGAAACCTAGCTGCTATATAGCTTTAGAAACCCTAATATGCTTTGTGTTTATTAGTGTTTCTTGTACAATCTTTAGGTCTTAAGCAACTTAATCATATGGATTAACTTGCTATACATTTGTAGTTATCTTTATGAGTGTGAGCCATTACATAGTGAGATTTTCATATGTAAAAGTATTGTGAACGGGTTCATCTAAGGGATTTAAATCTATCACTTTTGTAAGCAGTTGAGTAATAGAAAAGTTCATTTATTCATACCCATGGATGTAAGTCACATTGACTAAACCACGTTAATTCTTTGTCTTTTTATTGCTTTTCCTTGATGATTATGTAATGCCGTTACGACATGCAAGGAAATCAAAACAAATTAGCCACCACTTTTCACTCGGCCTGTCATTCCCACACTTTCAAATGCCCACTAGGCATTAATTAGTTTATTCTAATGAGATATGATGTTTGTCATACAATAATCACATTGTCAGGTTACTTGGCTCAAAGAATGAATGAACAAAGAAAAACTATAATTTAAGAACCCAACATAACCTCTTTCTGAACTTATATATGTCATTGATCAAGTACTTATAATAGCCGCAAACAACCCTCGATTGGTGACACAAAGGGAAAACTATCATGTTTTTGGTTCCATGTCATTCAGTTGATCAAAGCATTCCCAAATAATTACGTTTTTTTTTTCAATTAAATAACACTATGTTTCCAAATTCAATTACGTTCACACCATAACCTGATTTCCCTGCAATGTCGGTGCACTAAACATGGTTGTTGTTGGCATCTCAAAGGACTAACTCAACGACGAGAAAAAAAAAAATAGGTACATGTTCCATTGCAATAGGAGCCACTCAAATTTCCACCATTTTTTGAAAAGATCCATAAACAAATAAATAAAGAAATAAATCACCATCAAGATTTTGTTTGGCATGAATTCTTCAAAACCACAAAATTATCACCCTAATCATCGTTCTTGCTCACAATCACACGCTAGTTTTGGGTCCTACGACGATTCTAGTGCACGTCTAGTTGTGAGGAATTGGTTTATATCATTTAGAGTGTCTAAGGAAAAAGAAAAATAATGACCTACAACAAGCATGGTTAAATGTAGTTGTGTGTGTGAGGGTGAGTGAGCGGGTGAGAGAGTAAACGAGAGCAAGAATATGCACAACATGTATACAATAGATAGTTAGAGTAGTATTATGTATAATTTGAGGAGAGGTGAGAGAGAAAATAAATCTAACGGGGAGAAAGAGGTGGGATAAGTGACCTCTTTTTAAATGTATAAAAGATTAAAGAAAATAGTTATAAACGAACAATTAATTATATAGTCCTTTTCATTACTTTGCAAAAAGAAATTATATTTTTTTAATTATATCACTGTAAATTCTGTAAGAATATTAGGGTTTTCATAAGGCTTTTTAATTCGTATGATAGCAATGTTAAGTTTTCTATTTACAGAATGAAATTCTTTTCGTAAATTCATCTGTAATTCTTCGATTTTTTTTGAATCTCTATATATGTAATTCCCTCGACACAAAGAGATGTTTTCATATTTTTTTGTACATAATTATGGTAACAAGGAGTAAGCTCGGACCAAAAAAGTTCAATAATTACAAAGAAAGAAAAATAAAGACCAATAGAGAACATGGGCATGGGGTTATTTCATTTTTTTCCAAAAAAAACCCTAACCAAAACTTAAGGGTCTTTAACATAACTTCCATAATATTTCAGGCCATTTTGAAATTCTTCATAACTTTTGGGGTCGAAATGAAACTTTTCATCAAGATATGACATGGCGGCATTGTGGCCGCTTATTGGCGGAATATCAGATAAGCCAACGTTGGCCTTGGCACCACCAGGACGGCCACCACCACATTCTTTCAAACCCGACATCCAGCGCCATTGTTGTTCTTCTCCATAATCTGTTTCTGAATCAACAATGGCTTCTTCTCCTTCTTTCTCGTTGGTTTCCTTCTCACATGTTAACACTGAACCATCCTTTATTCTACTATCAAGTCGACAAAATCTAGTCCCACTAAACCCTAAACGACAATGCCTTAGAGTTTTTCATCGTCGAGGTCGCAATAACAGCGTTATCAGTGCTTCGGTGTCATTTCCAGCGCAAGAGGTATCGTCGTCGTCATCGCAGCGCCGGCCCGATGAACTTGCAGCCTCCATTTTTTCGAAGGTTTTATTTCACTCTCTCGTGTAATCAATCGTATTTAGGGTTTTGTTTCAGCTTATCAACACGTAATTAACATATGAAACAATAAAGTAAATAACTTTCTGACACCATTTTCAGTGAAGCTTTAGGTTGTGATGCTTGATCTTCTAGCTAATCCTCTCTAAATTATGATTGAACAAGGATTGATAATAAGTTGTAGTGTTCAGTGCCCAATCGTTATCCTATTAGGAATTAGAATCTCAAGTCTTCAAAAATGGATTTCCATAAAATTGTGAAAAACCTTTAAAATCACATTATATGCCAGTGATGACACTCCAAATCATAATCGACCTATTGAATTTCTACATACGTTCTTATTATTGCACATGTAAAAAAATCACATTCAAACATTCCAATGGCACAATCTCCGAAGATCAGTTACATATATAAGAACATGATCCAAATCTGATGAACTACATACACAACTTTGAGCTACTTTGATGTTGGTTTATTAGTTTTAATCTTTAAATATCATGAACTTGGTGATCTTAGTTGTATGTATATATCTAAATTAGGTTATGCAAACAGATCGAGGAGTTACATTAACAAGGGAACAACACCTGCAAGTAGCTGAATTGGCTGGTGAATTGAGTAAATATTGTGTAGATTCACCCGTCAAATGCCCCTTGATTTTTGGAGGTACTCTTTTATTTGTTGATGAGGATGAGGAGGAGGGCATTTTCGTCTATTGTAAAATCTTTACGGATTCATGAAATTTTATACAGATTGGGACGTGGTGTATTGTTCAAATCCTACATCACCTGGTGGGGGATTTAGAAGTGGATTGGGACGCCTTGTTTTTAAAACAAATGAAATGATTCAAATTGTTGAGGCTCCTGATATTGTGAGAAACAAAGTATCTTTCTTGGCTCTTGGTTTCCTTGATGGAGAAGTCTCCTTGAAAGGTATGATTCCATCTTTTTAAATAGAAAGATATTATAAAGAAAGTTTTTTTTAATAGGAAGACAAGTTTCTAGTTATTTTAAAACCCAAGTAAGTTTATAACAAAATAAATATCTTCTAGTTATACATATTGAGTAAAATTGTAATTTAATTGAAATGGCTAAAATTTTTGCGAAAGGTTTTTGTCATTAAAAATTACATTAATGAAACTGACTAAAATTTTGGGACAAAAGACTATAATTTTGTACCGTTGACATCAGTATTGTTTCAATGTAACGCGTGTTGTTGACATCAGTATTGTTTCAATGTAACGCGTGTTGTCAGTGTCACTATCATGTCATATCAAGACTTGTGTTGAGTTTTATGTGTTGATAATTTAATATTTCACTTACTAGTTTTTCATGGTTTTGCAATATGTAGGGAAATTGATAGTTCTAGATGAGAAATGGATTAAGGTGGTGTTTGAGCCACCCGAACTTAAGATAGGATCATTAGGGTTTCAATTTGGTGGTGAGAGTGAAGTGCAACTCGAGATTACTTATATTGATGATAAGTTGAGGTTAGGGAAGGGATCTCGAGGCTCTTTGTTTGTTTTCCAAAGGAGAAATCCCTAAACAACATGATGATGTCTAAGCATGCTTTATTATATTGAACCAATGCCATTTTTTGGCATGATTTTTGTATGTTGTATTTTATGTGTATATAACTATATAATAATAATAATGTGAACATTCATCTTGTTTAATTATATCTTTATTTTCAAGTTGTTACTAGTTTACCAACTTGAAACCCAAAAATTAGGATGTTACAAAGATTTATTTCTTGTATAAACAAAGATCCACTCATAATATGACAATCCGTACATTTGAAAAACAATATCATATTTATTAAAAAAAAAAGAAAAAAAAAGATTAGTTTCAATTCTATCAAGAAATAATGCAAAAATAGTAAAATATTGTGAGGGTATTTGTATAATTTTGGGTATCTTATTGAGTTCTTTTCAACAAGCTTGCTTAAATTGTTTTAGATTTATGTTTTAAATGCCCAACACAAATATCCCTTAACTCTCCTCCCACGTCTACATCTACATCGCAAAACCAATTGGCTGAAGGATCTCAGTAACTTCTTAGGCTGGAGGGTGTGGCTGCGGTTTGGGGTCTCGGTTTGTGCCACCTCAGCCGCACACACCGCCCCCAGACTGTGGTTTTGTGCGGTTTTGGCCGCATTACGGCTGTAGAGGACCGCGACACGTGATTTGCTGGTGAATGTTTGACCGTTGAACGGTCCTTTT